AATTACAAAAAATTCTATAAAAACAAAAATTACACAAAAATGAAAATAGTTCAAATTTTTTATAATGATTATTTACATAAAAATTATAAAAAAATATTTAAATGAACATAAATAAAATATTTTCATTCCATGTCAATAATTTTTATATTTATTTTATTTTAAACTCAATTTATTATTTTTTTATTTTACTTTTGAATTGAGAAAAAATATTGTAAGATTCACCGACTTTAAAATGTATATATTATTTGATAATGTATTAACGTAAAATTTTTATATTTTTACTAAATAATCAAATTTTAAGGAATAAAACACTATAAAACAATTTTTAAAAATTTCAAACCAAATATGTTTTCTAGTTTTCTGTTTTGAGAAATATTTTTTTAAGATTGACAAGTCAAAAGCGTTTTTAGTAATCTTAAAATTAACCTAAAAACAAAAAAGTTGAAAATGAATTAAAAACTGAAAATTGAAACAGAAACAGATCCTCATTTTAAACCAAAAGGCCTTGAAGAGATACTCTGGCATCCAACCAATATGCTGGCCTACTCTCCTACAAACCTTCCATAGTGTCATGAAAGATTAATAGACGTCAAGGGAGAACGAACGAATAATATTAGCATATGACATCTTTCTATTGCTCTTTTGATTATCTACAATTTTTTAGTCACCTTCTACAGGAATTGGAAAGAGCCAAGAGAAGCCAATAGAATTGTAAACAGCAAATATGTTAATGGCAGATAAAAACTTCATACAATCAGCGTTGACAAATTATTTACGACATCCTAAGAAAGCCAAACTTGGTGTACCACTGGAGCAAAGCAGCAAAGGCAAGGGAGCTGATAAAGGTGAGATAGTGCCAAAAGCCAGAGGCTCGAGCCCTTACTATACTATAAAGGAGCTTTGAGCGAGGGTTTGAGGCTGAGGGTTGCTCAAAGTCAGGCGCTTCCTTGTACCCCGCTTCGCAGTACATAAGGGGAAAGACGAGAATAGAAAAAAAATTACAATAAAAATAAAAACTACATTTAAACTACCAAACTTTTGCCTGCACACAATTGGTAATGGGATCCAGACATCCAGTCATCCACTTGAGTGTTTGATATTAGTATCGTGGAAGCCCACTCAACCCACCTTTGGATGCTATTCCAGTCATGAACAGCAGATAGGATTCCTTAAGGCTCATTTGAGATGTAAAAAGGTGTCCCATCTTCACCTTGAGATGAATCTTCTTCATCATCTTCTTCGACATGCTCCCATTCCTCGTTAGAACTCCATTTTCCTCGTTTACCTCAGGTTCCTCTTCGATGGTCTCGAGTTTCATCTCTAGTATATCCTCGATATCCATCCGAGATTCTGTATTCAAACTCCTTTTGCTTCTGCAAGGTACCATCCACCACATTTTTTGCGATCCCTTCCTCATTCTATTACACAATTACACACTTGATATGAAGTTGACCATAGTTTTGAGGCCTTCACAGAAAAAAGAAAAAAATGTCTTTCCTCATTTTGTTATGTCAATTGCATCTCTTCTTCAAAAGAAGTTTTATCACTTTGTGTATATATATTGGCAGGAAAGAAATTAAAGTGGTTGAAGAGGGGGGTCAGGATGGTTATGAAAAGCTTATGCTTTTTCTCTTTACAACTTGACTTGATCATGACAATCTTTTGTTTTAGCATTTGCCTGTAAACAAAGATTTATCATTTATTTTTCCACCAACCCTTTATTTTCTATACTAAATACTGCACCTTAGA